CGTTCCATCACCTTCCTTCCCATCGTGACAACTGAATATAACTGAAAGCCCAAGTTCGAAGTTCGAAGTGTGAAGCACTTCAAACAAAGGAAACCTTTTGGTTTTAGAGGAGGGGGGCAACAGCCACGTTGCCCAACGAAGCTACGGAAGACGGGTGGAAGCATTCAGGGACGCCGGAATGTGTACCTGCCTTTGGAAACCCACTACCTACAGATTGGAGGCAGAGTTCGACGGCGGTTCCCTTTCCTTTTCCTTACACTAATAGAACTGGAGGCTTTATGTTTTTTTGTGTATAATTTACCTAGAGTGATTCATCTGTCCCGCTCACTATGTGCAACTATCTCCACTTCTACCTGCTGCATCGGTTGCTTGTCAACCCAAGATCAGACATGTGCACTTGCATGTGTCTGTGTGTCAAGTTTTGTTTGTTTTCTATTTGCAGTTAACTTGCTGTTCCGTTGGCCCCCACCTAGGTGCGATGGCCTCCAACCTAAAGGCTTTGACTACCAACCTTTCTCTTGAACCTGGTTGTGATCTGGCTTCAACCGCTGTCTACTGCTTGCTACTAACCTACTAGCGATGGCCACCACCCTGTTGCGAGGGCCTTTCGCCTAGATGCAACGGTCTCCAACCTAGATGCGGTGGCCTCTGACCTACTCTAACCTACCCACCCTGACTTCTTAAGAGTTCATACCTAGGCCGCCATGGGGCGAGAGGCTTTCTCCTTTTCGTTTGCGTTTCCCAAGTGTGTGTGCTCTCACATATGTGCTCTCCCGCATGGGCTCTTACATGTGGGCCGGGAAGGGAGGGAGTGACAGAGGCCGGTGACCAGCCCAAAAAGAAGAATCGTGTCATCATGGTGCCAGCCCATGCAGCCCCGCCTCGCCCGCTTTTGTTTGCAGAACTAATGGGCGAAGGCGCGTTTTCCCCGCTGGCTTCTACACCTCTCACTGTCGGCTTCGAATCGGCCGTCGCCATCCTTTCCATCTGTTTTTTTCGCGCGGAATTGAATAATGGCAGGTTTTCTTTGGTTGGCCCCCACTCCTCTCATGGGTTTCGAAACTGCCACCCGCCACCCTTTCCAGCGAGAAACATGTGCCGGTTCCCCTATGGTCCTATGGTATTTAATGCCCGCCCAGCTGCACGTTTCTTAATTTGGGTGATGATTTTGGGACTTTTACTTTGACTTGAAGTGGAACTTTCACATCAAACCCATTCAAATCCTGTAGGCGAGCCTGACCATGTCGCGCTTCATTTTCAGTTCCTTGGGTTCGAAAACTGATGTGCAGTTGTTCCGTGTGTTGGGTGAGAAACTACCTTCTTTCTGTGCCCTTGTGTTGGTGCCGGAATTTGACCTAGGCGACAATGCAGTCCAGCTTATCGAGGATCTTCAAGTGAAGCAACCCTACATTTGGATATACTGCTTCTTATTTATGGCCATTGCAGCCTATGTAATCTTGAACTTGGTGACCGCGGTTATTTGTGCCCTGGATTAAGGGTCCTTGTGCCAAGCATGGCGTCAGCAAAATGCGATTGCCGCAGATCACGACGTTTGATGAGAGTGCCTGGCTTCCCCATTTACACTCATATTGTATTTGCGGAGCTGCAGGCGATAAAGCCCAAATGATTGTAAATGAGAACGAGGCTGAGAAGCTCTTTGAAATGCGCATGGAAGAGAAGAAAAACATGAAAGACTTGAAGACGCTTGCTTGCAATCCGCCCAATGCAATGTCAAAACTTGTGTGCTCCAGCATTTTGGAGCCAAGGAGGATTTTCCAAGTTCTCGACGAAGATGGAAGTGGCCAAGTAACCACTGAGGAGTTTGATGCCGCTTTTGAGATTCCAGAGTGCAGGCGATGTGTCCAGATACCATTGGTCGTGTTCTTTCCCATGACATGAGCTATTTGCAGTGGGTTGGGCCATTCCCAAGGAAGTTCCAACAAACCGCACAATTGGCTGCCCAAATCGACAATGATCGGCCACTGCATTTCATGTAGAGTGTTTACAAACAAAAATTGGATCAACCCTGGCACCCTGGTCAAAATGAAGTAGTTTTTAATCTCATTTTGTGTGACTGACTTGGTTCTTGCATAGCCCCACATGGAATTGCATCAAAAAGAAGCGTAGCAAATAGCAGGGCAGTAGCGAGTTGCACTGTTTTTGTACTCAGTCTATTGATGCTGCACCAAAGCAGGCAGATAGTTCATCCCCATTTAGACAAACTTGGCGCAAACCAAGACACTGTGCCAACTGCGTATGGAAAGGAAACCCACAGATGAATCTAGGGGCATTCGCGGGGTGATATTTGTGTGTGATGGCTCGTGGTTGGACGCCTTCAGGGATAAGTTCTTCTTGCTGGGCTTTGAGGAGGAGGCCAGAGGAAACGGAGAAGCACAGTGGCCAGGTTGTCAGCCCTTGTACTGCAATAGGTCCCCACTGCTGGTCCCCACTGCTAGTCATCTATCGTGGAAGTGACGGCCTTTGTGATCCTTTTTGTGTGTTTGTGAAAGCTCCGTAGTTTCTGAACAATTGCATTCCCGTTTTCTTCCACTGGTTTGTAGTATATAATCTGCCTTCCATGATCAGATGTAGCACCAGTTACATGTACATGATATAGCTTGTATAGATGTATGTTTCACTGAAGCCGTTTGTTCAAGTTTGGGTTTACTTTTGTGTTCATTTCGATACCAGAGCTCACGCTTGGAGTGGAGCTAAAAGTGGGCCTAAGCTTCTACTACAACCTTTGGGACAGTGACTTGGGGTCACAGAGTTTAAGAGCCTAAATTCTCCGTTCATGGTAGCGGAGCCGCGGTTCTTAGACCCGGCTACCGTCTGCGAATCGAAGGTCGCCGAGCCGCATCGGCTCTGGCACCGGAGATTCACAAAACAAGCATCACTTGCAGGAAAGCCGGATTGCTTCAATCCCTGGCTAGCAAGTCAACATGGCGCAACAGCCAGGAGCACAGGCACCACAAGCCACAGACATGGCACAACAATTTGCACAGATGATGCAAGCCCTAGCACAGGGGCAGAGCCAATTGCAACGAGCAATGGCAGAAGCATATACACAACAAACGGCAATCACAAGGAACATAGCCACTAGCGTAGAAGTAAGAGACAGATCCGAGTTGAAAGGCATTCCAAAGCCTGACAAGTTCAGTGGACACACAGGTACCTGGGATTCATGGTACTTCAAGTTCAAGACTTGGATTGAGACAAGTCACAAGAATGCAGGAAAGTGCATTCAGCTCCTCGAAGAGCACCAAGACACAGAGATCAATGACATCTCTGGAAGATGATTATCCTGAAGGAGCCGAGCTTGTTTCAGCTGAGGCCCGACAGGCTCTGATCTCACTATGTGAGGGAGAAGCCCTCGAGATTGTCAAGAATACCTCCAGAGGTCAGCACTTTGGCCTAGAGGCATTGAGACGATTGATCACCAAGTATGATCCACAGAACCCACAAGCAAACTCAGCTTTGCTGAAGAAGGTCCTGCACCCCGAAGCATTGGACAAGCTCAGAGAGAGCATAGAAGCCTGGGAAAACATCAGGCGAAAGTATGAAGAGCGGAAGAAGAAAGCTCTTGATGATGACATCGCAAGAAGTTGTCTTCAGCAGATGTGCCCAGCCAAGCTTCAAGATCACCTTGACCTCCAGAGCTCAAGACTCACTGACTATGCCATCATGAAGTCAGAGATTTTGGCCTACCTCGAGAACATCGAGAGCCGAAAAGAAGCAAAGACTGGATCAGCACCAATGGATGTTGATGCACTAGCCGCAGCTGCCAGCCAGATGCAAGCTTCACTTGCAAGTCTGGCTAAAGCCAAAGGAAAAGGCAAAGGTGGCTCAAAAGGCGGCAAAGGAAAAGGAAAGAGTCAAGATGGAGGCAAGGGAAACGACAAAGGTAAACAGAAGGGAAAAGGTTCCTCGTGGTCCAATCCCTCGTCATGGAACAACTCATGGAACAAGAACGATTGGTATAAGAATGATTGGAACAAGAATAGTTGGTACAACCAAAACTCCAAGGGTAAAGGCAAAGGTGGCAAAGGCAAAGACTCTAAAGGTAAAGGCAAGAGTAAAAGTAAGAAGGTAGCTTCAGTTGAGGAATCTGAAACCTCTATGGCTCAAGAGCATCAACCCGAGCCTGAGTATTCCGCTGACATCGCCACCCTCTCTGCCATCGAGATGGAGAAAGCAGCACCTGCCGCAATTTCTCGTGGAGCAGCCAAGGCAAAAGCTGAGACTGAAGTCAAGGCTATGCCAAAGAAGCCAGGAGCTGGAAAAGGTCGTCCTGGAATTGCAGCTGCTGGGATTGCAGTCATGAACCAAGCAATCCAAGAGACCATGCAGTCCAATCGCGAGCTGTATGAGAAGAAGTCTGAGACAATCCAGAAGGCCATCGAAGAGGCCGAAGCCAAAGGCAAAGCAGCCAATGACGCCATCTTGGAACAACAGGCCGAGATGAAGAGGCTGAAAGAACAGTATGAAGAAAAGGAGAGAGAAGCCAAGATCTTGCTGAAGAGACCAACTCCTCGCCGCGCCGCTTCGGTGCCGGCGGAGTCGCCAAGGCTCTCAGCTGATTTGGCATCAGGCATGGACCCAAGATTGGCCAAGAAGAAGGAGAAGAGCCGTCAGCGCGCCGAGCAACATCGCGTTGACAAGGCCCAGGATCGCTTTGAATCCTGGCGCGACTATGAGGCCAACTACCCTGAGGAGCTCGATTACTATGAGATCGCTCGTGCCAAGGGTACTGGTCGACTTCAAGCTTGGGATGATGAAGATGATGAAGGAAAATTTGATGAAGCCCCTCACCCTCGAGGTCGAGAAAAGGCCCAGAGGCATCGTGGCTACAAGAAGCCAGGAAAGGCAAAGAAGCCTGAGAAGCCAAAAGAGAAGGAGCCCAAGATCGAGGATCTCTCCACTCAAGAACTGGCAGAGATGAAACGGGAAAGCCAGACATGGACGGCTACTAGCCATCCAGCCCGCAGTGTCATCGACAAGGCGCTCACTGCAGCTGGGTTCAACCCAGAGGACTATGTTGTGATGAAGCGCGTCGAAAGCCAAGGCGAAGGAGCAACAAGCGCACCATCCTTCGCAGCTCCAGTCATGGAGAACATCAATCCCCTTGATGTGACTGAGATCGAGGGACTCGAAGAAGAAGAAGAGTTTGAAGGTGAAGTTGAAGAGGATGAGCATGGCACTGAGCCAGCTGACGATGAGTCAGATGGACAAGAGGAAGAAAAAGAGAAAGACATTGTGCCATGGCTCGATCACATGTTCCAAGAGCGCATCCTCAGCTATGATGAATGTGTAGCCAAATGCACCCACAAGAACAGAGATGGCAGCAAGCACATGGTTTGCCGTGCGTGCGACAAGGCCCTGAGGTGTGACAATGACACCGGCCTATGGAACCATCATATGGCTTTGAATTGCTGCCCGCCAAAAGTCCTCAACCAGTGGGCAAAGGAATGGACGATCAAGCAGAAAGAGATGGGAAAGCGCATCAAGACTGCCAAGGGACAGCAAGGCAGCCCAACTTCAAAAGATGCGCCAAAGCATGTGAAAGATGCCGACATGGATCTGAAGCCCGAAGATGTGGAAAAGCATTTGAAGATGGAAGATCCAAAGCTTGAGACTGTCAAGAAAGGAGGTCCTTTCTACATGACAGCCCATATGCAGAAGATGATGGAAGAACAGGAGGAGGAAGATGAGGTTGGCCCAAAGACTCCAAAGCAAAGGCGCATTGCCAAGACACCTCCACCTCCTGAGAAGAAGGGCAAGACCAAGGAGGAGCGTATGGCCTGGTTCAAGAGCTCGACTGAAGAGCACCTAGAGCGATTCCGTGGACCAGGATCCAAGCCAGAGGAATCTAGCGAAGCGCCAAGGCAGACGCTTTGGCTGAAGTCCCGGTCACGATCCCCGGGCAAAAGCCGAGCCGCTTCGGCTCCGGCTGCCTCTGAGAAGGGTCAAGGAAAGGGCAAGCAGAAGAAAGTGCAGTTGACTCGAGCCGTCAACGTGGCCACTCAGGATGCTGCCCGTGAGGCCAAGAAGGGAAAGGGAAAACGATATCCCACTCCCTCAAGCGAGCCTGATGAAGGCGATGAAGATCCACTCGCTCTCAGGAGTTTGGAGCTGGCATCCATGGAGACGCCAATGGCTCATCAGGTGACCTTGGATTCAGGAGCCGCGACCTCCTGCATCCCTGTTGAACTGGCCACCGCATTGGGCTACAAGCCTATCCAGCCTGAAGGCACCTGCAAAGTCTACAAGACTGCCTCAGGCGAAGTGGTCAAGGACCTTGGCAAGATCGATGCCATGGTGACCATCGGCATCGGCCAGAACTCCCTCAATGGACGTTGCTGTTTCGGGGTGATGGCGGTTGCAAAACCGCTGCTCTCCGCGGGGGCCCTTATGAGCAAGGGCTGGTCCATTCAGATGCACGGATCTGGTGGACATATCTCCCGAGACGGGACTAAGATCCCGATCTCGTTCAGCAACGGCGTCTGTTCTGTGCCGCTTGCATTCCACCCTTTCGTCCGGCACCGCAATGGGTAAGTCCGGTAGTGGACGAGCAGGCCGAAGAGGCCGAGCCAGGCGATGAAGTGCCGCCTGAGCTCAAAATCAATTCTCCCATTCGCCCGACGGGAAAAGCAAAGGCAAACCCCCACAGGAAGATAGACCACACCGATGAGACAACCCCAGTAGTAACTGTAGACTACTGTTTCATGAACTCGCGGACTGATGACGTAGTTTTGGACGAGAAGACTCATGCACCAATTCTTGTTGTCAGAGATCGATGGACGAAGCATCTTTTTGCTCATGTGTTGCCCTACAAAGGTGTGACAAAAGGTCCATATGGATCCAAAGTACTTTTGAATGACATCAAGAAACTAGGATACTCCAAACTGATCATTCGACATGATCCTGAACCTGCTCTCACATCCGTTGTTGAGGCAGTAAAGAATGGGTTTGAAGGAACCCTGATCATCGAGAAGAGCCCGAAAGGAGTCAAAGAATCCAAGGGAGAGATTGAACGAGCAGTTCAAACCTTGGAAGGACAAGCCAGGACTCTTCGAGCCGCAATCGAGTCGAACTATGGTGAGAAACTTCCTGACGATTCCCCTGTTTTGACTTGGTTAGTTGAACACGCATCCAGTCTACAATCTGTTTTTCGGATCTACCGAACTTCAAGACGGAAAGACTCCGTATTCACGACTTCGTGGACGTGAATGGAAAGTAGCAATTCCACCATTTGGTGAGGCCATCGAATACCTCAAGAGAGGCCACAAGTTCGAGGCCCAATGGACCAAAGGAATTTTTCTAGGAGTGAGAGACACCACCACAGAGAAGATAGTAGGAAATTCCACAGGCGTTTTCACAGTGCAATCCATTCGGAGAAAGCCAGAAGAAGATCGATATGATTCAGAGTTGCTGAAATCGATCACTGGAATTCCCTGGGATCCTCAAGCAATTCGCGAAGAACCAGCGATTGCAGCCCCAAGGGAACCAATCATTGCCAGCCCAAGTGGTGAAGCTTTGGTGCAACCACCGGCAATGGATGACAAGAAAAGAAAGCTGAGAAGGCTTTACATCACCAAGAAAGACCTGGAAAAGTTTGGTTACACCGCAGGTTGCCCAGCCTGTGATGCCACACAGATTGGCAAAAGATCTACAGGCATTCATCACACCAACAGGTGTCGAGACAGACTTGAAGAGAGCATCAGAGGAGAAGAAGAAGAGAACCCAAGAGTAGCAAGACATGAAAGCCGAGTTGGAGAGGCAATCACTGGCATGCCACAACCAGTCAGTGGCAAGAGACCTCAAATCCTTCATGGATATGAAAGCAAAAGACCATCGGGAGTTCCCGATTCGTGTCGAGTGTTCGCACGACTTGACGTCGAAGCTTACTGTTTTCAAACCACCATGCCAGGAGGACCTGATTGGTCTACCGTCTGGCACCGAGTCACAAGAAACCATTCAAACAACGCAATCATTGAGAGTGGAGTCATGACAACAGACCTTCCACCAGAGATACTCAATGGAGCATTACCACACAAGATGGACATTGTGACAGAACTTTGGTACGAACCAGAAGCAGCACCACCAACACCAGGCACAGCATCAGCTTCAGCATCAGGTATTCGCAGACCACGCGAACCTGAACCACATGGAGAAAAGAGAGAACACGAAGAACAACATGAACCAGCAGGATCACCCACAGCAAAAGCCAGAGTAGATAGAGACAAGAAGTGAAAGGCAGAAGGCGAACATGAAGATGAAGCCGAGAGAACAAGAGACATCCAAAGCATTGAGATGGCTCTAGAAAGCCTAATCCTAGACGACAGAGAGAGAGTGCTATCTAGCATCGACCCAGAGAAACCAGTGTGTGAAGAGAAGATCCCACTGCCAGAAGAAATGGCAGAAGAGGTAAAAGACTGGTGGTACTATGATGACATCAGTGGAAAAGAGCTTCTACCTGAGAAGGTAGAGAAAGCCAGAAAAGATGAGATCGACATTGTCGAATCAATGGGAGTTTGGGAAAAGATCCCAAGAAGCAAAGTTCCAAAAGGAACCAAAATCATTGGAACTCGATGGGTAGATGTGAACAAGCAAGATGAAACCAATCCTCTCTACAGAAGTCGATTGGTAGCGCAAGAGATCAAAAGAGGCTCAGGTTTTGACGAATTTTTCGCAGCTATGCCGAGCCTAGCAGCTTTGAAGCTACTGCTAACCATCGCAGTCAGCGACAGCCTTCCATTGGAGAAAGGCGAAAGAAGAAAATCAAAACAATCATTTCTAGGATTTTTAGATGTGAAGAGAGCTCATTTCTACTCTAAAGCAACAAGAGAACTCTATGTTGAAATCCCATCAGAAGGCAAGAGACCTGAAGATGGAGATGCGGTAGGAAAATTGGTCAGAAGCCTATACGGCACCAGAGACGCACCCATGAATTGGGAGCTGACCATTGCAGAGTTTATGAAGAAGCTAGGATTTGTTCAAGGCAAGTCCAATCCATGCATCTACTACCACGCATCCAGAGAACTTCGAACAGAAGTGCATGGAGACGATTTCACGACAGTTGGAAGTTTTGATGACATCAAATGGTTTCACACTTCAGCAGCCAAAGAATGGCAAGTTGTGGAACGAGGCATTCTCGGTCCACCAGGTTCACCAAAAGCAAGTCAACAGATCAGAGTGCTGAATCGCATCATCACCTGGTCAAATGAAGGCATCTGGTGGGAACCAGATCCAAGACATGCAGAGTTGATCATTAAGTGGTTAGGCACTGGTCAACCAGGCAAGGTCAAAACACCTTTGGCCAAGCCAAGTCAAGAGGAACTCCAACACGAAGAAGTTCCGCTGAGTGCCGAAGATGCAACGATGTATAGATCTATTGCTATGAGAGCCGCGTATTTGGCACAGGATCGACCTGATCTGCAAACTGCAACGCGCTCATTGGCACAAGGTCTACAGAACCCAACATCGAGGCACTGGAATATGCTGAAACGATTGGCTCGATATGTCAGGTATCGACCAAGAGTTGCACAGTTGTTTCCAAACCAAAGCACCTGCAACCCCTTCAATATGTGGTCAGACGCCGACCATGCAGGTTGCATAAGGACACGAAAGAGTGTGTCAGGAGGCGTGCTCATGGCCAACAAATGCTTTCTCACAACATACAGCAAAGGCCAAGGAGTTGTCTCCCTGAGCAGTGGCGAATCCGAGTACTACGGACTTGTTTCCGGAGCATGTCAAATGCTTGGAATCGCATCAACAGCAAGAGACTGGGGATTGTTTCCCAGCAAAGAGGTGACAATGGACGCTTCCGCTGGCATCGCCATGGGAAACCGTCGAGGCTTGGGACGAGCTAAACATGTTGACACTCAGTACCACTGGGTACAAGAGCGTACAGCAAAGAAAGAGTTTCGTCTCAAGAAGGAAGGCACCGACAGAATGTTGGCCGATGTGCTAACGAAAGCTGTCACCGAGGAGAAAATGACAACAGCCATGAAAGGTATGAACTTCCACCACTTGGAAGGTGAGCATGAACTGACTTTGAAAGCGTGAACGGCTTGAGCTAGAGTAGGTACATCTTGGTCTTGAAGAGGTACTGAAGGGCTACGAGCTAATTCACCGAAGTGCTAATCCTGACTCGCTTAACTTCTGGGAGATGTTAAACTCGGGAGGCGTGATCAGATGTAGCACCAGTTACATGTACATGATATAGCTTGTATAGATGTATGTTTCACTGAAGCCGTTTGTTCAAGTTTGGGTTTACTTTTGTGTTCATTTCGATACCAGAGCTCACGCTTGGAGTGGAGCTAAAAGTGGGCCTAAGCTTCTACTACAACCTTTGGGACAGTGACTTGGGGTCACAGAGTTTAAGAGCCTAAATTCTCCGTTCATTCCATGTGGTTATATACCGCTTTGTATGAGCCCGTGTGACGAATCTGACGCAGAACCTCCAAATGTGTGCAGGAAATGAAGCAACTGTTCAGAGTTCTGGACGACGATGGTGAGGGCGAGTTGAGTGTGGCAGCGGCTTGGCCCTAAAGTCAATGAATAGGATGTGGATTCTCTGCGTTGCATGGATGCCGTGATAGGCTCGAACATGAAAATGCAGATTTTGCATGCAACATCCTTTTTCTGTTGAGCTCGAAGTGCTGCCTTTTCACGAAAGGTAGCCCTTTAGGGGATACCTTGAGTTTGTCTTGCGAAGCAAGTGTTGGGACGTCCGGGTCTAATAATTGATCGCTCAATTCAGACCCCCCCCCCCCC